TTGATCTATTTATGTTTAAAGTTATTTTACTGATCTATTTATGTTTAATTTCATTTTACTGAACTTATTGTGTTTAATTTCATTTTTGTGATCTTTTTATGTTTAATTTCATTTGTATGATCTATTTGTGTTTAATTTCATTTTTTGTGATCTATTTGTGTTTAATTTCATTTTTATGATCTATTTGTGTTTAATTATAACAAAGTGTGCTGGAGTGCCCCACCTACTACTCACGCCGATGTCGGGCTCATCTTATATATCCTTACCAAATAGTATAGATAGAAAAAAGGGTACAATCAATCCACAAAATAGAGATCAACAATGCTTCAAGTGAAGCATGTGACGGAGCATACGAGTCGTATCGGTGAAAATTATTACAAACACGAAGGGAAATATATTTTCGATGGTATCTCATTTTCAACACCGTTATCTGATATAAAAATCTTTGAAAGAAACAAACCATTCGTATCCATCAATATTTTTGGAGTTGAAAAACAATTCCAACCACCGAAAAAGTTCCCAACATATGAGGTTTTCCCACTCAGAGTTGTAGATCATGAAAAACGAGACCACTTTGATCTATTATTAGTGACCGACGGCGATAACACGCACTACGTGTATATATCAAATTTTTCACGACTTATAAGACGTCAAAAAACATCACACACTGAAAGAGTCATGTTTTGTAAGCAGTGTTTCACGAGTTTCGACGACAGGCCTCGAAAATATCAATTGAGTGGACAGGCTGCGTTAGACCAGCACAAACTGATATGTGGTTCACATAAACCAATATTACCAGTTATGCCGGCAGAAACACGGAACGACATCCCATCGTTATATATGCTGACTTCGAAGCCCTACTATTGAAAGCTGATAATGAAAAGAAGGAGAAAAAACAGACATAATTCATAAACATGAGCCCATGAGTTTCGGTATTTTCGTTAAGGCTTCTGATGACGTTCCATCGAGTCTACTCGAAGATTATGACATACCGACTAATCCTATTATTTATCGTGGTAGTGAAGAACGTGGGGATATAGCGGGACGTTTCGTGGAAATGGTTACTGAAATTTCGTTAAAGATAGAGAAATTGTTAAAAACAAACGTGTTGATAAATATGAGTGCACTAGACAGAAAGGTTCACGAGGCAGCGACACACTGTAATCTGTGTTGTATAAAGTTTACACAACCTCATGAGATACAAAATCGAAAAACAGCCGACCACTGTCATCTTTCTGGGAAATATCGACAGGCTCTTTGCAATACGTGTAACCAAAAACTACAAACACCCGTTTTTGTCCCATGTTTCCTACATAACCTTTCAAACTATGATGCTCATTTCATAGTGACAGAGTTAGGATATGATACGCAGAGGATTACGGTTATACCCAACAGTGAGGAGAAGTTTATTTCTTTTTCCAAATACGTATCAAACACCTTCACAATCAGGTTCATAGACACCTGCAGATTTATGGCCTCAAAACTTTCAACGCTTGCTAAAAATTTGCTAACTCCTGACTTTTCTAAGTTTCGTGAGACGGGGAAGCATTTTTCCACCAATGATATGAACCTTGTAACCCGTAAAGGTGTCTTCCCTTACGAATATACAGACGCGTGGAGTAAGCTTACCGGAATGTGTTACCGGATAAAGCTGAATTCTATAGTATCCTAACCGAGTCAACGCTTGAAGATAAAGAATACGAGCACGCGTTAAAAGTGTGGGAACATTTTGGCTGTAATACGATTGGTGAATATTCAGATTTGTACTTGAAAATCGATGTGCTGCTACTGGCTGACATTTTCGAAAATTTCCGCGATGTGTGTATGAAGGCCTACAGATTAGATCCTGCATACTATTACACCGCTCCAGGGTTTTCATTCGACTGTATGCCAAAATATACCTCAATGAAGCTAGAACTATTGTCAGATTATGATATGATGTTGATGTTTGAAAATGGTTGGTATTAAACTTATTGTATTATTATTAAAATAAATAAATCATTTTTTATAGGTATACGAGGTGGACTGGTGCAGGCAAGTATGCGTTATGCCAAAGCGAATAACGAGAAGGTATCCGATTATGATGATTCGAAGGAAGATTCGTGGTTGGTGTATCAGGATTGTAAGTATACATTACTTTTTCTCAAGGATATTATATTATACTTACATTATTTTAGGTAATAACCTGTACGGCTGGGCGATGTCACAAAGTATACCTTATGCTAATTTTAAATGGGTGAAGCCAGAGTTGGATGGACTCGACAATTTGGATGAGACTTCACCCATAGGCCGGATATACGAGGTAGATGTGTCATATCCTGTAAACCTACATGACAAGCATAACGACTTACCATTCCTCCCTCAAAACGGAATATCTGCGGGCTCAAAGGTAAAGAAACTGATGGCGACATTCGAGAGGAAGACAAACTATATAATACACTATCGTAATCTTCAGCAGGCTATAGCAAATGGGCTGATAGTGGAAAAAGTAATTTTTTTTTTTGTTTTAATTTAACATTTATAAAATATCTATATATAGGTACATAGAGTTGTACAATTCGATCAATCTCTTTGGTTAGCCGAATATATCAGTTTGAATACTGAAATGAGGAAGAACGCTACGAATGACTTTGAGAGGGAGTTTTTTAAGCTAATGAATAACGCTGTATTTGGTATGTCAACAAAATATATGTATGTATATAACTTTATTAACTTGAAAACATTTATCTACTCGTAAAGAGAAGACAATGGAGAGCATGAGAAAAAGGATACAAATGGAATTGGTATCCAATGACAGACGATTACAAAAGCTCATAAATAAGAGCACATTTAAACATAGTACATCTTATACAGAAAATTTGAATGCCGTGTCACTAGAAAATAAGATTATTGAATTCAACAAACCTATCTATATCGGTAACTGATATTAACTCAACATTTAAAAAAAAAAAAAAAATTTTTATAATTTTTATAGGTTTTTCAGTATTAGACATCAGTAAAACACTGATGTACGATTATCATTATAATGTTATGAAAAAACACTATGGAGATAATGTTAAACTAATGTACACCGATACAGGTAAATAAATATATAAAACCGTTATGTTTGTATAAATGTAATATATATTATTATTATTATTTTAGATTCTCTAGTGTATCATATCAATACGAAAGATTTTTATAGAGACTTGGCCATCAACCCGAATTTGTTGGATCGAATGGACACATCTGACCTACCAACAGATCACCCTTGCCATATAGCCGAGCGTAAAAAGATACCAGGTCTATTTTCTGACGAGACCAAGGGTGCTATTATGACCGAATTCTGTGCGTTGAGAGCCAAATCATACTCTTTCATTTTGGGTGGAAAAGAGAAAATCAAAGCCAAGGGGATTAGGAAGCATGTCGTCGATAACCATATGACGTTCGCCGATCACAAAAAATGTTTGTTTGGAGAAGCTGGTGTGGTGGCGTATAAGAATAATGTATCAATTAGGTCATTCAAGCATCAACTGATGACAATAAAAACGATAAAGCTAACTTACAACAGTTTTGACGATAAGAGGGTTATCTTAGAAGACAAAATCCATACCTTGGCTTACGGGCATTACTCAATAAAGTAAATTTAAAATAAATTATTTTTAAAATTATTTTACTTATAATATTTATAATTTTATAGGGAAGATGAACATGAACCTAGGGATGAGGAATAGCCAGATTTTCAGTAGATGCTGGTGGTCATGAGCGGGATGAATCAGATAAAAATTTTATGAGAATGCTTTTACAGGAATGCATGTCCAAATAATTAAATACCATGTATATTTCTAATTTGTAAATATCATGTGTATATATACTTTGTTATATATTATAAATACCATGTGTTTGTATATTTTTTGTTATTGTAAATATCACTCGAATAATTTTTGTATATATATATATATTAATGTAATCTACAACCATTTATTGAAAATGTTAGTTTATTTATGTAAAAAAATAAAACCAATGTTAAAATATTATTATTGTTATATTTTTAAGAATTATTTACAAACCATTTTCTTATAGGAAATACTTTATAAAATGTACATTGTTTAGGATTAAAATCCATATGAAAAATACAACAAGGTAAAGTTTCGTCATCACATATTTGATCCAAACGAGGGCAGCCTATGTCTTCAATGTTGATGAGTGCGACGTGTGGTATATACTGTATAAGAACTTGTTTTTTCTGCTCACCTTTGACGTATATACAATTGAATTTTAATGAATTCAATATTTTACCGAGTTCTTCATACTCGATATCACCGTATTCTATAGATAGTTGATGATAATTGCGTTCCAGCCACTTGTTGGTTTTACGACTCTTATTGTCCTGCATCGAGTTTGAATGTTTAAAAATCCAATGTTGAGTCGCCCATGTTGCCGTGTCTACTATAGACATTTCTTTAATCATGTATTTATTGCTGACGCCAAGTACGCATTGTATGTCCAAGATGGCCGAAGACATTATTGCTTGTCTTTATAATACGTTTCGATAGTATTTAGACGGCTGAGTATAGCAGGTACTATGTTTTTCAACACTTCTGTACTTTCTTTGATTGATTGTAACGATACTTCACCTCTTGCCATATGCTCAGTTATTTGTATACATGTCAATTGTATCGCTTCTACTTGTTCTTCTTGAATTTGAATGGATTTATGATTTTCTTCAAGTAAATGTTCGATTTTATCTAATTTAGACGAAAACGATTTGTTCGACTGTTCGAGATTTGAAATAATTTTTTTTGTTTCGCCAGACTGAGAACTACCAAACACGTTCATGTCTATAGCTCGACTGACACTATTTTCTAATGTCACTTGTATTTATCCAGCTATTGTGTGTATTATCGAACCCGAGCCATTTCACAAAAATTTGCTTCCCCTTCTTACGTATAATTTTCTCGACCAAATAGTCATTCGGATAGTTTGTTTTCAATATTTCTTCTGAATAAAAGCAACCGGCAATCGGTTTTCCAGTATAATCTTGCAGCTGATAAGTAGTAGGTAACGTTTCGTTGATTTTAACAATTTTGAATATTTCTGTAGACCAGTTCGGTAAATAACCTTTTGCAAATACACCTTTATATGTGCTTATACGATCATTATCACCAATGTTAAATTTAATTTTTCCATTAATAATTTGACGTTGCTTTATGTCCACTGACGTAGGATTAGCATCAGCTTGCACTGGTGTCATTCCTATAGTCCTATGTTTTGAATTATTATATTCCTTAATCAATGAAGGTAAAATAGATAACCATTCGTGAGAGCCACGTGCTGTAAACTCTCTAAACATTTTTTCTTTCAATGTGCGGTTGAAACGTTCTACAATACACGCTTTCATAGTACTATAAGTCGAATATTTATGTATGTTGTGCTTCTCCATCAACGCGTCGAATGTAGAATTGTAAAATTCTTTACCATTATCAAGCTGTAATAGTTTTGGTCTGCGTTTATGCAGTATTTTAGACATTGCGCTGGAAACTTCTTTAGCAGTTTTGGATTTTAACGCTATTGCCCAGGCAAACTTTGTGAAACAGTCTATCACACATAAAATATACTTGTACCCTTTATTTTTTTTCGAATATGGTATCATTTCGACCAAGTCAGCTTGCCATAGATCATTTTTGCCGTAAACATTAACTCTACGCCGTGTATAATTTTTCCTCGCTGGTTTATGTAGTTCGACTGCGATATCTCGTTTAGACATTTGGAATATGTTTTATTAACCCGGCTTCGCGCAATTCTTCGAAAATCGATATTATTTCGTTCGAAACGCCTGTATTACCAGCTGCTTTTGACGCTAATAGTAACCGCAATCTATCGACTAGTTCGTTAGGATCGTCCCAGTATACTAAATTATGTTTTTGTAATTTCACAGATAAGCCTTTACCTGACCGAAATAAATTCTGAATTATATCCGTATATTTATTTCCTCCTTTTTTAATTTTTTTCTCATCTGCTGTGAGATGGGCTGATGTTTGAATCAATATAGATTTATATGCATCTAAATCGTTTTTGGTGTATAATTTAGGATTTTTTGAAAATATTAAATTACCAAGCCCTTGTGTTAGCGGGTAGGATAGGTCTTCAATAGTCAGCGTATTGTTGACGAGATTAATTTCTTTTTTACCTAAATGTACACTACCATTTGCTCGTATTTTTGGTCCGTACGTCTTGTCTATATCATAAGATTTAAACCAATCATTTATTTTAAAAGAATCCTCAATATTATTGTCTTCCTTAAGTTCTATGGGTGGTGGTGTTGTTGGACTTAAATGTTTTATTTTTTCCAATGGTTCGATAATCGGACTTAACGTTTCCGATACTAATGAACGAATATCGGCTTTGCCGTGTTTTAATGCTGTATACTTGCGTTTGATATTTTCTTTGGCTTTAATCAGTTCTCCGAGTACTTCACCGCTAGCAGCCATGACTGTGAATGAATCATTTCCACAATGACAACACTTTATATAACGACGAATGTGTCAAATCCATGACGATATCGACCGTTGTCACGTTCACAGTCTTTGTTTATCACGATAAACTCAAATCTACCCAGACGCCAACATGAAGTGCAAAAGTCTTTAAACTCTGAGTATGACATATCACCAGAGCAATGTTCATTGTATACATGCTTTAAATTAGTCTCATCTTGTTTGAATAATACAATAAAATTAGCGTTATCACGCAAAAGTTGTTTTGGGACTTTTGAATAACTCTGAGCCAGATAGAATACATCAACTAAATTATGACGACCTCTGGAGAAGTAAGTTCTTGCAATCTTTTGGTTTTCAGTGATAATATCGTCAAAAATAAATACAGAGTTCGGTAAAGCTTTCTCAGGTTCAATAACTTGCTCATTTTCATAGAACGTAAATAATCCAACATCAGTGTCCGATAATATTTCACTTAGCATTCTATATTTGGGTTGATCCAATGTTTTTGAATATATGTATACGTTGTGGAATCGTATTCCGTTTATATTGGTTAGTAAGGTAAATATTAAATTAGTTTTCCCACAGCCGGAAGGACCCACAATAAGCGCGCGTATCGTATTAGGTAGAAGCGCACCATGTCTATGCTGTTGAGCAGTTGTAGGTGGGTCCACGTTTTCAACTGTGAGTTTTATTTCTTGCTTGACGAACTTCATTATAAATAACTAATCAACGACGAGAATGTTATCAGTACACGATGTCACTCGCTCGAAGAAGCAACAAGAATAAAGGCGCTGGGCTCATAAACACGCTTATAAATAAATTACCGTTGGAAGTTCACGTGCCTGGTAAGTCTAGAATAATGAATCCGATATTCTCATAATAATAATCAGGGTTAGGATGTTGTAGCATTTTGCATATTTTTTTAGTGAGTCCAAAAGATAGCTTAGTAAGATAAAAATCTGTTTCATATACTGGGAATTAAAAATGTGCTATTTTTATTTTGCATATTTTTGCATATTTTGAAGATTTTTTAAAAGTCATGATTATTTTAGCATTTTGGATTTTTAATGCATATTTTTGAGTTTATTTGTAAAAATTTTGGTTTTCAATCGCCGTAAATGTTCACCCAATGTTAAACGCGCGTGATATAGCGGGCAAGAACAATTTTCATCTTATCTGTTTTCAGATATGCATTGCCAGATATGGCAAGATATTAATTGTTTGTGTTTATCGTAACTTGTCTTTATGTCTAAATAATCTATCGCTCATTGTTAGGACCGTTAGGTAACACTATACAAATTATGGCGTGACTGTGTGAGTGGAACATAAAATCGATAAGATAAATCGTATTTTATTGAACTAAATGTTTAAAATGTTTTTGTCATATTAGTACTGTGGTTCGCGTATAACGAGTTAGTCGACCAACGCGTGTTAAAGTCTTGTTTATTTTTTCTATACATTTTATCAATATGCCTAAACTTCCAGCATCTAATTCTGCACGTTTAAAAATATACGTTTCCGAAAACGAGGGTGTTTTTTCTACCGATAACCAGATTCTTTTTTGTAAATTATGTGATATACGAGTAAACTCGCAAAAAAGATTCACGGTAAATCAACATTTAAAAACCGCCAAACATTTACGCGCTGTAAATCGTTTAAAAACAAATGCGATTAAAACTAACCAAAATTTAGTGTCAAATGCAATTTGTGGAAAGCATTCGGTTTTTAACGAAGATCTGTGTAAAATGATGTTATCTGCAAATATTCCATTGAGCAAATTAAATAATAAATTTTTGTCTGAATTTTTAATAAAATATACTAACAAAGATATCCCGAATGAATCAACATTAAGAAAAAATTACGTCACGGATATTTATAAAAAAAAAATCGGAAGTATTAAAAGGTACGTAAATAATAAAAATATCTGGATTTGCATTGATGAAACTACTGATGTAGAAGGTCGTTATGTGGCAAACGTTATCATTGGAACATTAGAAATTGATGCACCAGGCAAAACTTTTCTTTTTAATTCGGAAGTTCTTGATCAAACTAACCATAAAACAATTTGTAAATTATTTGATGAAACACTTTTTTTATTATGGCCAGAAGGAATAAAACGAGATAATGTATTGCTATTTGTTTCTGATGCAGCGCCGTACATGGTGAAAGCGGGAAAAGCATTGTCAGCTTTATACACAAAAATGATTCATATCACATGTCTCGCTCATGCAGTGCATAGAGTTTGCGAAGAAATTCGAAAAAATTTCCCAAAAATTGATTCACTGATTTCAAATGGAAAAAAAATATTTTTAAAAGCACCTTCAAGGGTATTGATTTTTAAAAATAATGCTCCTGGAATACCATTACCTCCTCAACCTATAATTACCAGATGGGGTACATGGTTAGAAGCTGCGACATATTACTGTGACAATTACAAAGCATTTTGCGAAGTTATAAATATGTTAAATGAAGAAGATGCAGTATCTATTGAACACGTAAAAAAACTTATTCAAGAACCAACATTAGAAGGTAATTTAATTTTTATAAAAACTCATTTTAGTTTTATCCCAAACAAAATTACGTTTTTGGAAAAACAAGACGTCTTATTGGCCGATTCTACTTCGTCTTTTGAAGAAATTGTAAAAAAAATATCTGAGACACCTGGGAGTATAGGAAAATTAATCAATAATAAATTAAACACAATTCTCAAGAAAAATACTGCATATGTATTATTGAAAAATATAAAAGATATTATTTCCGGTACACGTGAATCAATTCCCAATATGGACCAAAATATAACAGTGACAGATATTCCATATTTCAAGTATGCTCCCGTGTCCTCAGTGGACGTCGAAAGAAGTTTTTCGACGTATAAAACTGTTTTAGCTGACAATCGACGAAGATTTACCTTCGAAAACTTGAAAAAGACGTTGATTATCCAATGCAATTCACATTTTAATGGTAAGTCAATTGAAAAAATTAATTTTAAAATAAAATAAATATCTTAAGTAAATAATTTATTCAATTTTGTTACAGAAAATGAATGAAATGTTTTTTCTTCAATTTTTTATTCATCGACATTTTTAAGATTGAATTGAATTTAATTTGGTTGGTAAGTCAGTTAAATTAAAAATGATGTTTTAAACGTTGTAAATATATTTTTGATTTGGTTCTGTTACAGAAAAAGAACAAAATCGACTATCAAAACCATCAAAAATTTAATATATATAAATACTATTTTATTATTTTACTTATAATTTAAAATTTAAATATTTAGCACTTTAAAATTTTTTTAACCTCTAATTTTTTGAATAAACGTTTTTACATAATTTTTTTTTATAAATGCATATACCAAATTTTTTTGGAGCATATTTAAGTAATTTTTACAACATATCAGCATATTTTTTAGGGAATATTTAATAGTTTTTTAGAGCATATAAATCCTAACCCTAATAATAATATTTCTTTGCAGGTTATCAATACTGTGGACCTGGTACAAATTTAAAAAAACGATTAGCTCGCGGTGATAAAGGTATAAACCCACTAGACTCTGCTTGCAGAGACCACGATATTGCTTACGAGAATAGCAGCTCTATCGCAGATCGTAACAAAGCCGATTTTATATTAGAGCAGCGAGCCTGGGATAGGTTCAAGTCAAAAGATTCGAGTTTAAAAGAAAAAGCTGTGGCTTGGGGTGTGACTACTGCCATGAAAGCAAAACGTAAAGTAGGTGGCGGTTGTGGTTTTAAAGCAGCACTTAAAGCCACTAAAAATGTTATAAAGAAAAATTTCGGTGAAAAAAACTTGATGAAATTGACTAAAAAATGTTTAGCCGTCGCGCGAAAAACATTCAAAACTAAGAAGACTAGGGTTCCACGAACAATAAATATTCCGAAAAAAGGCGGTGTGCTACCACTCATACCGATTTTCGCCGGGTTGTCAGCTCTGGGAGCCCTAACTGGCGGCGTAGCCAACGTTGTGAAGGTCGCCAATGAGTTTAATAGAAACACTCCTTCGCATTTAGGCAAAGGGCTATATCTCACTCCGTATAAAGGCAACTCATACAAAATAGAAACACCACAAAAAAGTGGTGGGGGTGTAAAAGCGAAAAAATATAGAAAGTCAAAAAACTAATTGCCACGTTACCCAGTAGAGCGTTGTACGATTACGAACTTATAAAATATGCTCGCATGATGAAAATACCTCATTTCATCGGCGTTTTTACCAGAGATAGGTTATCTAAACGTCCTAAACGCCTAGAATCAGCGATTATTAACCTGGATACGAAGAAAGGTACAGGAACGCATTGGGTAGCGTATAAAAAAATCGGAAAAAAAGTCGAATATTACGACAGTTTTGGAAATTTACCTCCTCCAATAGAAGTACAAAAATATTTTCACGGATGCGATATACGTTTCAATTACAACAGTGAGCAGAAATATAATACTACAAACTGTGGACACTTGTGTTTAAAATTTTTATCATGTTCACATTAACGTTAAACGGAAACTCTAGTGAGTTGTCATGCGAGATCTTTCCTCCGTTGGAAGTAGAAAATACTGCACAGATTTGCCTTTTGAGTTTACAGACAAATAATTCTATACCAAACATAGAACCTGGTTGTAATACTATTGCCTTCCGTAATTTGATCAATGAACGTGAGTACGTAATCATACCTACGGGGACGTATGAGTTGGATCAGTTAGAGTCAATTATACAAAAAATGATGCCCGACTATGTCAGTATGTTTGAATTAAAAGCAAACAGCAGGACATTAAAGTGTATGATAACGTGCAGCCATGATGTTGATTTAGGAGTCGAGAATAGCATAGCGAAATTGCTAGGTTTTAGAAATGTACGATACACTACTGGTGCTACTCATGAATCTGAAAATATTGTCAACATAATGAAAATAAACTGTATAAAAGTAGAGTGTAATTTAATCACTGACTCATTCTGTGACGGAGCACCGAGCCAGATCATACATGAGCTGTATCCTAATGTACCTGTGGAATATAAAATCGTTGAAGTACCTAGACATCCAGTTTTTTATGGTCTCAATACGACTTCAATAACTAAAGTAAATATCGTGCTAAAAGATCAGAACGATTGTCTGATTAATCTGCGTGGTGAACCAATAACAATTCGTTTACAAATAACGCATGGATATGGCACTCAAATTTAATATAAAAAGAGCTACAATCAAAAAACCTATCAGTTTACCGACTGCCGTTAAGAAGTCTACATCTAAACTTAAAAATATCAAGCTCACGAAAAATAATTTAAATTTTCTTCGATCTTTAAAATGATGGATGACTCATATTTAGACGTGACGGCCGACTATGTCGACGATTGTAAAATAACTCAAAAGAGTTACCATTCGTTCACACCGTATTCAAGCTCCGCTTTATCATACAATGAAGAAATTAGAATTAATGTTCAGAACATGGATTCTTACACTTTGCCGTGTGAGAGTTATATTTTCATCGAGGGTAAAATAAATAAACCTACCGATGCAGTGGGGGAAGTTCGTTTTTCAAATAACGGATTGGCATTTTTATTCTCTGAAATGCGATATGAAATAAACGGAATAGAAATACAGAAATTGAAATCACCTGGAATTGCGTCTTGTTTGAAAGCATACTGCTCATATACTCCAAACGATTTGAATGCATTAGAGAACATGGCTTGGGACTCGGCAATGGATAGTGAAGATAATAAAAATTTTATGACCAATAATATATTTTCCGGATGTATTCCTCTAAAACATGTATTCGGATTTTGTGAAGATTACAAAAAAATATTACTCAATTGCAATCAGCAACTGATTTTGAATCGTGCATCTACCGACCTTGATGCGATACATGTTGTGGGTGAAGGCGCAACCGCCGCTGTCGATAAAAATAAAAAAATTACAATTGAACTGACTAAGGTGACTTGGAAGATGCCTATTATCAAAGTCAGTGATAAAGAAAAATTAAAGTTATTGAAAGTATTAGATTCTCGTAAAACACTATCGTGCGCGTTCAGAACCTGGGATCTCTGTGAATATCCAGTGCTCCCTAGAAATACTTCTCATTCGTGGACAGTAAAGTCTAGCAGTTTGCTCGAAAAACCAAGATTTGTGTTGTTTGGACTACAAACAAGCAGAAAAAACAATATCGAAACTGACGCTGGACGATTTGATCACTGTCAACTAAAAAATCTTAAGGTACACTTAAATTCTGAGGTGTATCCATATGAAGACTTTCGAGCTGATTTTAAAAATAATACCACCAGCATACTCTACAAAGCTTATACAGACTTTCAAAAATCGTATTACGAAAGAGAGTATTGTGAACCATTATTATCAAAACATATTTTTCAAAACTATGTGCCAATCGTCGTTGTTGATTTGTCGTACCAGAATGATAACGTTAAATCATCGACCGTGGACCTACGAATAGACTTTGAAACCGACACAGTTATTCCAGAAAAGACTGCAGCTTATTGTTTAATACTACATGATCAGATTATAACTTATAATCCGTTTAGTGGAGATGTTAGAAAATTGTAAACCTTGTATATATTTTATAATTTTATACCTTGTATATACCTTGTCTTAAATATAAATTGAAAACCTCATTGTAAAAACTTAATCTAATAAATAAAAAAACTTGTTTTTAAATATCACTCTTTTTTTTTATTTTACACAAAATTTATTTAAACAACATCATTCAAACAGTTTGCGTTTCGAGTTCCGTTTTTTCGTGGGCTTGCCGCCTGTGAAGTCGAGAATCGATGGCGAGTGGTTAAAAGACGTTGGACCGTCGTTTTCGTCCACTGCAGTGCTCGTTTCAAGCGCTGAATACCACGAAGGGGGCTGAACAAAATTCTCTGGATCAAAGTATGGGGGAAGCGTGTCTAAGAATCTCGTTGGTGGATTGGTAGATCTTGCAATTCTTTCGGCTAAATACTCTCCACCATTGGAAATGCATATTAATGAAATTCAAAACTTTGGGAGAAAGACTCATAACTTTTTATCGTGGCAACGGCAAAACCAACTGATACAAGCCATTTCAACAAATATTAAAAATGTCATTCAGAAAGAGTTGTTAAATGCTCATTACTTTAGTATTTCATTAGACTCAACCTTCGAAATATCAAAGAAAGAGCAGTTATCTATGGTTATCAGGTATATTAATAAGAAAACTGGTATAGTATGTGAACGTCTTATTGCTGTACGCCTGGCAATCTCTACTACTGGAAAACACTTGTTTACAATGTTTGAGGAAATTTGTGGTGAATTTAATTTAAATTGGAAGGAATTTTTAGTTGGCAATCGTTTGATGGGGCTGCATCAATGCGAGGCCAATATAATGGTCTTCAGTCATTCATTAAAGAGACAAATCCATGTGCTACTTATGTGTGGTGTTGGGCTCATCGCTTCAATTTAGTGATTGTTGATGCAGTAAGTTGTTGTATTGAGGCACGTGATTTATTTGGCAACTTAGAAATGCTATACGACTTTATTGGAAGTAGCAAACACCGTGTTAATCTTTATTCTAGTTACCAAAAAAAAATTACCCAGGAAAACCGTTACGACAATTATAGAGAGTTGAAACGACTCGTTGGTCATCACATGCATCTGCACTACCAACTACTTTTGATACATTTGATGCTATAATTGATACTTTACATAGTCTAGAAAGTGACGATGCCTCTCATCGTGCCTGCAGTGTAAAAGCTAATGGATTAATGGAGTATTTATTATCAGAGCGTTTTGTTTTGACTGAAATGTTGTTTCTAAAAATATTTGATATGACCAGTCCACTTAGTAAATTCCTTCAAAAGAAAAATATTGACTTATTAGCTGCGGTTAACTATGTACAAAATATACTTACTAGAATTAAAAATCTTCGAAATAATATTAAATTTGGAAATTTGATTGATCAAAAAAATTAATTTATTCAATCTAAACAAAATAATTATTTTTTTACTCCTATTGTTTCAACACGAATAAAACGCATAAAAAAAATGGTTGGCGAATCAACATCAGATGAAAACATTACTGACCCTATTGATCATTTTAGAATAAAAACGTACATTGTAATTTTAGATATTTTGATTACACAAATAAGTGAAAATCTTTCACCTTTGTATAAAGACATATCACTTTTTCAAAGAAAACGCTTAAGAGAAGTTGAAAAATTGTCTTCTAGTTTGCCTGTGGATGCATTTAATGAATTTGGTAGTATTTATGGGAAGTTTTGTTCAGCAGACATTCTTAGAAAAGAATATCTACAGTTTTGTAGTGTATATTTTAGTTTTGAAAACCTAATAAAACTTCCCCAAAAACTTCATGAGAATGATATTTTACATTATGACACAGAAGAGGAAGAAGAAGAAGAAGAAGAAATTGAAACAGCTGAAGAAGACCAAAAAACCATTAGTACCATTTATGCTGTATGTCATTCTCCAGGACTTAAAGATGTTTTTCCAAATATTTATATTGCTTTAACAATAATATTAACGCTTCCAGTTTCAAGTGCCAGTCCAGAGCGAGCATTTTCAAAATTGAAATTAATTAAAAATCGATTAAGAAGTACTGTGAGTGAAGATAGATTAGAAGAGGACTAATGTTGATAACATGTGAGATGGATGTTCCAGTAAACACGGATGAAGTTATAAAAATATTTGCTTCATACTCTACAATTTTAAACAAACAATTATTATAAATTTATTTTATTAAAGTTAAATTGTTAAAACTTGAAAGTGTTTAATCTAAAAAACTGATTAATAAATAACTATTAAATTTATTTGTTTTTTAGCATTACAGGCCATTAGGACCTTTGCTGTCAATACTAAATTCTTTCATCCTTCATCCTCATTCAATTCTTCCATTCTTCTTCAAATAACTATTAAATAAATAATACAACTTAAATAACAATTATATATTTACTTATATATTATACTAATAACTGTATATTTGAATTTATCTGCACTATTTCATAAAAAATTAAAATTTGATTGAAATATAAAACAATACATCACATTGTATATTTCATTATTAAAGTAATTAGTAAACATGGGATTTCCATGTTCGTCTGTTATAATAACATATATTTGCTCCATTTGATATACACTGTTATTGTCAATCCTTGTCAAATTGGTGGCACGGAGCAACGCAATATGAGTTTTCCATTTTGGGCGAGTACAGAAGAACCATATTTGGAAGGTTTTACTAAGGTTTCTACCCCCCCCCCCCCCATGGTAGAAAAGTTTATGATATTTTACGTTGTCAAAGAGTAAGTAGTGGGGTCTTTGGGTGCAGGGGTGGGTGGTGGGTATTAATTTTTGTACTTTGCCCCACCTATAAAAATTGAGTTCGGTGCCACTGACTCACAAGACACATTCAATACGAAAATAAAACAATACAATTATGGTGATATGTGTGTGAGACCAGTTGTCCTCGCCGCCCGATATTAATTAATCAAAATGATACGCGTTTATAAATGTATAATATATAATTATGTTGCGGCGGCAACACATATATACCTATTATACTAGTATATACTAGGTATAGAATTTGTATTTTGTATCAGCTCTTATGCTTTATTGTATTATTATATAAAATATTATAATTTTAAAATTGTTTGAAATTGTATACCTATTTATATTTTATTACATTGTTATGTATTTATATTCATACTTTGCGTATTATTATATTATATTTTACAACCAAAATATTATTATATTGTTAAATTTTGATTATAAAACAAGAAGGAAATGTGTAAAATATTTTTTTTTATAATATAAATGAATTCAATGAAAAAAAAAATGTTTTGAACTGTTATTATTATTTTAATTGGAAATAAATTTATAGATATTCAATTTTTTTTTTCATTTTTCTAAACAGCACAACTATAATATACATAGACAATATATAATTGTATCGTTATATTATATTTAAACATATGTATATATAATATATATATATATATCTATATAGGGTAAAGGGTACAGTTATTGGCACCTTAAGAAAAAATACAGGTTTCAATCAGTGTATTTAATTTGGTACCATGGTTGAACATCTTTCATCAGTTGCTACCAATAGAAAATGTTGTTATCTTTCCAATTTTGTTTTCATAATTTGTGTAGGTTTAATACTTCTTTTTAAATTATTGTTCTTTTTAAAAATTGTGTAAAAATACAGTTATTGGCACCTTGATTCTGGGATTGGCACGATATGTTATAGTTATAGGCACCTTTTTTTTTCACTTACAAAATTAGGGTTCTTGTTACTTTTCTGAAAATATGTTATACCTAGGTACCTATTCCCTAAGTAGGTAGGTACCTAAATAATCATGTTTTAAATATATTAATGTAACTTAAATTGCAAAGGTACAACTAATTTACACATAATTGTAGGAAAACTTTTAATAAATAGGTATACAAAATTACCATTTCATGTTCTTAACTTGAAACAATTTATTATAACATTTATCTTTTTAATTCACAGTAGTAAAATAAATTTTCATAACTTCTATTAAATACAAATAAGTAACATTAACTAATAAATTGGTTTTTGACATTTTAAACTGAATACAAATTCCCTTGTAAAAGAAAAAACAACTTTTTTAAACATATAGAATATTAAAATTATTATAAATAGGAATAAACACTTTTAAATAAAAAATTAACAACAGGTACTACAAATAAAAAAATATTAGTACCCAATACACATGAAGTGAGCCTTCTTCACAAAATAAAAACAAAACATCAAGACTTAAATTTAAAATTGTATAGCTTTAGTGATACAATACAAGTTATACTTTAAAAACTTTATTAGTTTATCTTTTTAATAATTCACACTAGTAAAATAAATGTTCATAATTTCTATTAAATACAAAAATGTAACATTCTCTTATAAAAGAAAAAACAACATTTTTAAACATTAGAATATTAAAATTATTATAAATAGGAATAAACACTTTAAAAAAAAATTAACAACAGGTACTACAAATAAAAAATTATTAGTACCCAATACACATGAAGTAAGCCTACTTCACAAAATAAAAATAAAACATCAAGACTAAAATTTAAATGTGTATTGTTTTAGTGAGTGATACAATACAAAGTTATACTTAAAAAACTTTAATAACAATTTAAAAACTTAAAAGGTTCCTATCCTTGGCAATTTTAATTAGAAATCAGTCTTAAAAATTAGAAATCAGTCTTAAAATTTAGAGATCATTTGTTAAAATTTTTTGGCACTTAAAACAAATGTATAGAACATCATCAGATCCCAAGCAGCAGTATTGTACTCTTTTGGATCTAAACATTTTAGATGATATAATTTGTTGCAAAACATACATTCCAGACCATTGTCTATGTCATTACAATTATTAGCACATGCAAAGCAAAGACCAGTAGTTTTATACAAAACATCTGGTCTTAAACTTGACTCGTTGATTTCATTAACAGTACCATCCTCTTGGTCTGAAGATTCAATCATAGTTAATGGCTGGGCTAAAATGTCACTTACATATCTTTCAGGCTGTTTATTTTTTGATG